AAAAATACTTTATGAGAGCTTTTATACTTTTATAAAGCTGTTTATAACGAAAATTAATTAACTAAGGAGTTTTTTGCTCTGCCAGGGTGTGGCCGAGTTATCCGGAGTGCCGGGTTATCGAGAGCCGAGTTTTCGAGGTTCTACTGTATTAAAATTATTTTAGTCTTATTTAAACAATTTACCATTAAAAAAAATTTGCTAGCTAGCTTTGAATGTAAGCAATTTATGTAAAAAAAACACCTATGAAGTGAAAAATAGTCAATATGCATTGTATCATTTTATGATAATTCAATCTATGCCACGATATTACATTATCAAATTTATATTTTATTTTCATACTATTAATTAAAATTTAAATGAAATGAAAAAATTTCAAAGTCATAATTAACTTATATGATTGTTCCAATCATTGTATTTTATACATTACTTTTTATGAGCTTTTCTGCTCTAATTAATTATTACATCAACTTCTACATAAATATTCATTAATTTGTATTTTTAAAAAGAAAAAAACTACTCTATATGTTAAATAGTCTTATTTTTTTCCTTTTCTGTTTACTTTAAAGGGCATCCAAAAATGGACAAGGATCATGATGCCTTAGCAATTTTGTATGTAAATTTTGTAAAATTGAATTATTATTATTATTCTTGATACAATATATTCAATTTCTATTTCTTATATTTACCACTCTATTTATTTTACTAATTAATCATCATCATGAGTTAATCTTTGAAAATAAAAAATAATTAAATAAAACATATCTAAGACGTTATTTTGCCATTTTGATCGGGATTTGTTTTTATATGTTATAAAAAGATTTCTCATTAAAGATGGCTAAATACTAAAATGGCAAAGGTGTCAGCCTGTCACTCCAAGGATCTGGGTTCAAATCTGATTCAAACACCTCAGAAAATTTTTCAAGGGCAATCTGCTCCAGATACGTTGGGCCTGTCTCTCACCACCTGGCCACTGAGTCCGGATGAATCCGTAATGGATATGGATAAAAGACTTTCTTAATGCTTACAGGATGAAAAGAGCCTATTAAAACATTTCTAAAGTAACAGTATTCTTCCTTCTTTGTAAATAGCTAAAATTTGTAATAAATTATTATATTTCTTATATTAATATCAAACTTTTCCCTATTATTAAAATTCTCTTTTATTTTCCTTATTTTTATACTTCAGTGAAACAATGAAATAACATATTTTTTAATTCTGAACGTCAAATACGTGAAATCAGTGAAACAAAACAAAGCCATCTCTGCAGCAAAACTTTTATTATTTTACTTTCCTGGCTGATATATATAACATAGGGAAAGTATGGTGAACAGTCAAAAAAATAACCCATCCAGATTTTTACATTTTTGGACTCAGGGGACCTTGAAACCTAGAGAAATGCAAAAAAATTTTGGGGTTATTTTCTGTATGTATGGATGTTGTGTGTGTAGCATGATTTTGTTCACCCTGTTTAAATCTTAACTCCTATGCTTTTTGTCAAACTTTTCTGAAATTTTGCACAGAGGTTTGTTTATTAGTGGGATTAATGCTATTGAATTTTGGCTATTAAAGTTTGAGGGAGTGGGAGATAAAGATAAAGGGGGCTGTATATATCTCCAGTATGGTCAGACTTCATGATTTTACTCATTATTAGCATTTACAATTTTTATAAAACCCATCCCTACCCTCAAAATTAAGCTTTTTGCCATTTTATAATAGTTAAAAATATGATAACAGATGGCACCATATATGTAGTTTTAAATATTGCCAGAAAAGTTAAGCACTCGTTGCTGAATTTTCTTGTTTTATAGTTACTACAAGTAATGATTAATTTGTATAAATAAGTCAAACTATTATATATAGAAATTGTATGATCTACAAATATAGTTTTAGTTTTTACAATAATTGATTTTATTCAAAATACAAAAATTGACCATTGCAGACCATTGCACTATTGATTCTTTAAAACTTTCCATATACTAAATTACAATTATATATGTATATATATAATTCTAATTGATCTAAAATTACATATACCAATTTTAAGTTAAATTTTTAAAAGTTAATTGCATTTAAAAGTCAGTTTACTGTAGGGTTCCATAAAAGTCAGATTTAGAAAATAAAATCCATGAATATTGAAAGTTTTAAAAACATTCCTTGAAGAAATAATATCATGCCATAACTTAATCATTTCTTAGAACCAACTTTCCAATCAGAATTTTTAAATTCATTAACACAAATACGCAGGAAAAGAACATAATAATTACATCGAACAGTTCAGTCAAAGTCTTGGAATAAAGTAATAGTTTATCATATTGTTTCTTACTATCATTGACATCTCATGTTAAAACCTTAATTCAAACTCTGATTGTAGACAAGAAATTAGCAAATCTAATGACTTATCAGAACACTTCAGCTATTTATGGCTGATTGGCTCATCATTTAAAGAATTTAATTATTGATTATTAATATGAATTTTTCCAGGAATGTATTCTTAGGCATTGATGGATGCACTTTCTAACATTTTCTAAGTATCTGAAAAAAGTAAGAGAGGAGAAAATATCAAGATTTATAAGAAATGATCATATTGAATTCTCTGGTTTAAAGTTTCCAATAATATATCTGTTATATTGATAACATTTTAATGTTATTAAATACAGTAGACCCCCTATAACACTGTTGATAATTCCATATTATATGAATTCCATGTTGTATGAGTCACTTAGATTTTACAAATACATGTGCCGGACTGTGACCGGCTCACGTATTTGTAAAATCTAAGTGGCTCGTACAACATGGAATTAATATAATACGGAATTATCAACAGTGTTATAGGGGGATTTACTGTATATGCTTTACTTATTATATGTTGATCTCAGTGATATCATCTATCAAATTCTTTATACCATCTCTGATTGATGTATGTCAAAATTAAAATAGGAATGTGAACCTTGTTTTTAAACATAAACTACATCTTCAATTTTTCTTGCCTAAAAAATTACATTACATAAAAGAAGTATCATATTGGCAACGTGAGTAGAGTAGAATAAACCTCTATTGTCAAAATTTTAATAAAGCTCTGTATAAGGGTCATACTATATATGAGTTAGAAAGAAATTTCACAACCCTTTACTTTGAGAAGAAGAAATTAAAAAAAAAAATGTCTTACTATATTCAGAACAATATGGCAATTAAAATAAAGTAACTGATAATTATGTACTTCTCAAGAGCACTATAATATTAACTGTAAGATAATAAAATTAATGAATTTTTCCTCTGTTTTGTCTTTTAATATATTAAATAATAATATATTAAGTGTCCAAGATTTTAGAAGAACATATTGAAATAAAGCGTGAATTTTTTTAGAGTTATCAATTAGAGTTACATTGAATGCAAAAAACACAGATTATGTGAATGAAAATAAACCTACAAATCAATGATATAAAGTGTCTATAAAAGTGTTACAAATTCCAAAAGCAAATATTTAAAATTGAATAGATAGGTGATAAATTATGTCTATCATACTTTACTATTTAGAAGTGAAAATTATAAAAAAACTATCCATCTAAATATATATATATGTAATTAAATAATTTGAAAATTCATATTTTTTACCTGCTGTTTTACCCGGAGGACTTGTAGGAGATGACTTAGTTTTCCTAACAGCCAATTGAGGACTTGCTGAGTGAGGTAATGGTGGACTAGCAGAAGATTTTAATTCTGATGATGCAGAACCACTTACATTACTGAGATCGAGACGTAATTTTAATCTTGATTCTTCTTTCCGAGGTGAACTAGGAATTGCTTTAGGTGGTTTTGATTCTTCAGAAATAGATATACACTTATCTTCTTTACGAGGAGATTTTCGAATCACTGATTTTGTCTGTTGTTCTCCTAATCCTGTTTCTATTACTTTTGGTGCCATTTCTCTGCTTTCATTTGAATCAGAGACATTTTCTGAATATACAGAGTCTTCATTTGTTTGACTTGTATTTTCTGATTTTGTTTGTGTACCATCTTCACTACTTTTCAAATTTGAATTGCTACATATATTCCACTCTCCTTTCATTTCTGGACTAGAATTAGTTCTTCTCAAAGGAGAATTAGATCTCTGATGAGAAACATTTGAATGACTTTCTGATGATTCTGAATGATCTGAATTTAATATAAAAATTTGTATATATTTATTCAAATAGTAACATTTAAAAATACTGAATATAAATTTAAAGTATATAGCAAATATAATAGTAAAAAAAATAAGCTAATAATAATACCAGTATCTATCTCACTATTTGTAGAAGGAACTTGTTCTGCAATATCTTCTAAAGGATCTGAAGGTAACATTGATAAGTGCTGATAATCATAGTAAGAAGAATCATCGACTTCACTGTCACATTTGTCTTCTATATTTAAATCTCTATTGGTTTTATGAGGTAGAAGTAATGTTGAAATATCAGGAAGGTTAAGATCCTAAAAAAAGCAATTATTAAAAGAAAAACAATTTAGATCAAACTCAAATCTCAAAATTTTAGTTAAACAAGAATAGTAATGGATAGAAACATCTATTACTATTTTTTTTTTAACTATACTGACTAACTATAACTATGTCTTTTTAACTAGTACAATCTCAGTAATTTGTATGTTTGCTGGTTCGACACATCCAGTTACTCGACACCAGTTGACTTGCAGGTATTACCATTACTGTTACCAATTCCCATTAGTTCAGCTTCCACTAAATTTGAGCATCTTTCCACTAAATGTAATTAATTCCAAGTTTGAACATTTGAGCTTGGGGATGAAGTTAAAGAATGATAGATTGCTCAAAAAAAGGCAGGGTAGCTTATTCACACTTTTCACCGGATGCACCCTCTCTGGTGTTTAAAAACAGAACTATTTTATCTGAATTGTTTGAATCATTCTTGTGTATTGTCAACAGTAAAAATGAATAGCAATAGAAAAGGAAAGCTTTCTGTTCCATTCCAAATTGCACAATATAGGTTTTCGTCTATTCCCACATGAAAAACAGATGATTATTTGGAAATCAGAATGTGGAGCTCATAAATATAACTGACGGAAAGACTACTAAGAATTGGCAAAAAGTTTCCCGATTGTTCAGCTTTGTATGAACAAGTTATGCTGTCAATTTTAAAAGATTTTTCCTTAATATTTAAAATGTCAGTAATTTTGTGTGGGACACAGGGTCGAATTTAAGCATTTTGAGGCCCTAAGCCGAACGCTGTGTCAGGCCCCTTACCAACCCATCACATTTTTAGAAGTCAATCATAAAAAGAAAAGAATTAACATAAACATATTAACTACTTTTTATTTTATGTAGTATTTAAAGTATATTTTGTTGGTTTGTAAAAAAAAAACAACTTCAATTTTCTTTTCTGTAAAAATTTTTGAGGCCCTTGAAACTTGAGGCCTTAAGCAAAAAGGTAACATAACTTGCTTGTAAATACAGCCCTGATGGGACAGATGTCAAAGCTAATGCTTTTTAACGCAAAGAGCACAATTGTATAGAATGATCTCTCTCATTTGATTCTATATCATCATATGTAATGACATGTCCCACTAGCAATAATTATTCTCCTATAAATTTCTCAATAAACAGCTACAAGCAGAATACATCATTATATTGAACTGTAATGCAGTATATGATTAATTTTATGTTGATTAGTTACAAGCGACTAGTGTTGACACCTTTTCAAAATCGCTGACCCGGACGGCAGGTCAGGTTTGTTCGAACAGAAGTTCCTGACGCACTTTACAATGCAAAGAATAACTTGCATGCTGATTCTAAATCAGTTGCAGTTAGGGACTAGGGACTTGTGAAGGAGTAATGTAAGTAACCCTAAATTAAGAAAGAACAGGTACAAATGACTTAGCTCTATTGGATATTGGAGACGTGTTTGATCGTAGTATATGAAAAAAAGATCTACAGGTTGCGTGCCACATGTCGGTGTAAACAGACTAACATGGCAGAATTGTAGATAAGTTTCAATGAGTGCGAGTTCTTTCACTGTTAAAATAATGTAAATTTGTAAAAATATTTGCAAGAACTTTGTTACATCATAATTTCACAATTTCTGTGAAATTTCCAGACAAAATTAATAGTTCACCTGGACAGTGAGTCAATTCCCAGACTGTCCAGGTAAAAACTGGATGGGTGGTAACACTACAAGAGACCCAGATATAAGGTCCTATGATCTTGACCCAGATAAAGTAGCAATTTTGTAAAAATGCGCTGCCTCTATAGTTCATGAAAAATGCAAACAACACAATACTATATAAATATTGATATAAAAACCAGTCCCTGAAATTTCCCAGCAAAAATATTGGACCTTCCACTAAATTTTGTATGGTCACTTCAATTTTCAACTAAATTTGGTGGAAAACCAACTTGGCAACACTGAATACTGGTGATGGCAGCATACTCAGATGACAAACGGCAAAGACAACTGAAAATTATTTTAAAAAGGACTGACAATTAATTTGACAACTCTAAAATACAGTAACATATGATGTATAAATATTTTTTTATTAATGCAATGTACTAATATCATGCAAATAAACAAATATTTTCTTTCCTAATAATTAAACTAGAGATGCATGCATATTCGGCTACTATCCAGCTACTTTTTTTTAATATTCGGTATTCAGCTGAATGTTGCATACTATTCAGCCGAATACCAAATACCAAATCATGAAAAAAACGCACATATTACTCAAAAACGTATTTGTTTTAATCACAAATTATTACATTTAATACTTAAAATCTATCAGTGGTAAGTTGTGATGAATGAAAACAATTTTTTCGCATTTGTTGATAGCAAACAATTGCACTTTTCCTCATAAACTACACCTGCTTCTGAAAATAGCCTCTCACTATATACACTACTGCCGGGAGACAATAGATAAATCTTAGCAAATTCTGTTAGGCTTGGGTACTGTTTTGCGTTTGCTGACCATCACTTGTAAAGGTCTACCATCCAATGTAGGTGAACAGTTTTCATATAAAGTGGTACAAATAGTGATATTTTTTAGTAATTAGGACTATTAGTAACACAATTTGATGCAACAATGAACAAATAATGCATGTCATGACACGATCTACTCGCAAATAAAACAAATGTGCCTGCAGTGTCACTACTGCACCCACTGCAATGAGACAGGCCATAACCTGTCACCCGCAAAATGTACACATATTTTGCCGAACATTCAGCGCTTCGGCTGAGAGCTTAGCCAAATATTCGGTATTCGGCAAAATCACTATTCATGGCATCACTAAATTAAACCATTAAATTCCACCTACTTTTAATAATCTGACACTGTTCTGATCCCATATGCCATCAGATTATTGAGACTGTACTATACTGTAATCCTTTTTTAAATGATATTTTCAATTGATTCTAGAGACAAATTTAAATACATAAAGGTTTATTTAATTTGATATTCCTTTTCATTAACAAAATAATTACAATAAATATATTGCTGCAAAGTATATATTTTTGTCAATTAGATCTTTGTCTAATGAGAGAAGGTCATTCTGACCTTTTAAAAACTGTTTGAATAGAAGTAGTGTTTACAAAACTATTCCATTCAAAGACTTTTCTGAGAATGATCTCTATTCTGTTTTCCCAATTCTATTTTTGTTCAAATTAGTATTAATTCATTATTCTATCTACAATAATATATTCGAAAATCCAAATATCAAATATAAATGAAAAATATCTAAGAATTTCATAAACTATTTATAGTTAGTTAAACAATTAAACTCACCGGAGGGCAATTTGGCAAAAATAAACGATTTTGAATTCTAAACATCCAAGACGTATTGCCAGTTGGTCGCCTGATAAATATTTCAGCCCACCCATTGCACCAACAACTACATAAATTTCCAGATGAACACTTGGCATTTTTAAGTTTTTCTTCTTTAGAATCTATATAAAATATTTACAAAAGTAACTTAATGGATTAATTTAAATAATTATAGAATTATGTAGTAAGATAAGAAAATTCCATTCAACAGTTTTTCTGAGAACTAATTTGGAATTCTTTTACTCGCAATCAGGAAATCATTGATCAACTTTCATAAAATTTTTGCTTCTTAAGATCTGAACTGAAATCATTTATATTAACAATATCATTAATCTCAAGTTTTTGAAATTAATTTAGTGATTTTTTTTAGCAATGATAAGTTTATACAATATCCATTAAGTTAATAAATTCATTATATTTATTAATAGCATTTTGTTCAAATGAAGACTTGAATCACTGATTAATATGTAATCAAGTAATATAAAGAAACACAAAATTTAGTAGTAATTAATATTAATTTCTGTCACCAGATGGCACCACTGTTCAGTCATAAAAGTCAAACTTTTATAAGGAAATTCTGTTTAAATTATAAACTCCTTTTTTTTTGTTAATCCTTTAATAACTTATGATTATTGCAAATCAACTGAACTGAATTACTTGCAGCACTTTCACTTCTTTTGCTATTGATTTCTTTGTAACTTCAATGACACTTCATTGTAAGCAGGCTGATCTGATAGTTAAATGAGATTTTAATACCAGCTATCTATGAAAAATTATATATAAATTGGACTGAAATATGGATCGCTTACAGCGGTATAAAACTATTAATATTTACTTTATCGTTCTCTGATGTATGTTTTAGTAAATGGAAATTAATCATTTGAATAACGAGTTATTCAAATTACTGATATCTGTATTCAGGGAATCTAAAGTGTATATCGGGACTGGGGTAGAGTAGGTCCCTTTCATTACATTTTATTTGAATAAGTGAAATACATAGAATGTTTCTTTATTAATAATAGCAATATTAAAGATTTTATTTTCATTAGTGTAAATAATTTTACAGGGTAATAACCACAATGGCACCTGTTTTCTCTGGGCCTAGAATAAAAATCCTCTCTCTTGATGACCCTCTCAATAATATCAGTTATGTATAAATATATATATA